CCATGACCGGGAGCCTCTTCCCTCAGGGCAGGGTCGAGAGAGTCAGAGAGACAGAGAGAAACACTTTGCACCTGGCTGTCAGTCCCAGCTGGCCAAGCTGGAAGGAAAAAGAAAAACAAACCAAACAAACCCCAAATAGACAGATGAGGGGAAAAAGAGAGACAAGAAAAGAAAAAGGAAAGAAGAGAGAAGGACGGATAAACAAGGAAAGGGATGGACAGAGCGCTTTGCACCGTGCGACTTGGCTTGCGGCGGCCGGGCCGGGCCAGGCGGGGGGACTGGAGGGGGGCAGGGCTGGAGCAGCTGAGCCGGGCAGCTTGTATTCAGCGGAGCTGCTTAGACAGCCGTTCTGGGATACACCGCGGTCAGCGCTTTTTTTGTAGCATCCATTTAAACCCTTTTTTCTTTGGGATGCACAGAAGCTACACAATGCGCCGGGACCGAGTTAAAAACTCAGCAACTCTCCACAACAGCACGCCCATTGCAAGCCTGACTCTAGCTTTGGCCAATAAGCAGAAATACCCAACAAATTCAGGTGAGAAGCTGCAGAGAGGAACAGAAATCCAAATACTACATTGCTATTTTTTCTCCCCACATGTGGAAATGAAAGTTTCAGATGTCAAAAAGCAACAAAACCCCATTTCCTCCCAATGAGAAAGTACACACAGGTTTGGCAGATAAAAAGGAGATGCAACTGCAGCTTAAAAATCACCCCTTTAACACGATGTGCACCACAACTGTCAGAGAAAGACAGTTTTTGAATTGCAGAGTTATTAGCCACTTCCCTCTCCCATTGCAGAGGGGGGGGGAAAATTTTTTAAAAGCCAAACAAAGCTGAGCAGGATAAGCCACCACTTATTTTTCTTGACAACAGGATGTCATTTGCTTTTAAAAGCTATTGAACAGGTTTTTAAATGAAGCCATGGCTTGAGGCAACCCATTTACCAAATGAGAGGCTCTCCCTGTTAAGGAAGGGAAGCCCAGCCCTGTTTCTAGAAGTTTGAATATTTTTGGTGAGTGGCAATTCAAATGGACTGCATCCTTAGTGCTCCTTTAGCATGTTTGCGGCCTCCAGTGTCGTGGCTCTTTACAAAGCAGCACAAGAGACAGGACTTCAGGCGAGAGAGAGGAAAAAGAGTAAATGAAACCAATTATCTAGTAATAAGAAAACTAGAAGTTTTCCACTGGGGGCGAGATGGGTGTATGAACATCCACCGAGAGAAGAACAGAAGCTACGAAAATTAAAGAAGTTTCTCTTTCCTTCCCATTTCTGGCACAATAGCTAGAAGGACGAGGGAACAGATGTGGCTTCTCTTCCAGAAGCTGAAGGGGAGGCATCACCCTTCAGCTGCCTACTAGCAAGAGGCAGATACTTAGATACTACCTCTGGGCTCACTCTTTCTTTTGGAAGTCCCAGAATCAAGCTGTCCCAAGGGGAGAGTATCATAAGCTACTGCAGCAAGTTGTATTTACTTTGTGCTGCTACCTTGGTGTTTATCCACTTTAAGTAGTTTACAGGTTTAACCTTCAAGCTGGCAGGTACCCTGTAGAATTAAAGCCTCACAATCATTTCATATGTTGTAAAAAGTCTCTCCTTGGCCCTGGCTCTACTGCATCAGGAATCAGGTTTTGGGCTATCTTGGACTAGATAAGCTCCGAATACCATGGCAATCAATTCCTCTAGCAGCAATCATGGAAGTATGTTATCTTTAGGCTGACCAATGAAGTACAAGTCTGGTTTACTTTGCTTAAGGAAAGAGCACCCATCACAAGGCACATATGTTAAGCTTAGCTGCGTGCCAGCAAAACCATCAGGGCATTTAGTATAGAATTGGGCAATCTATATGCTGTCCCCACCAAAGCTGATTTCCAGCCTTTAATTGCAAAAATTTCTCTTGCTTCACAGCAAGGGCTACAGCAACCTACTAGTAGGTCATGATCATCCCAGATTCAGAAGTCTGAAGAGGCATCTAAGAGCACACTCGTGGCTTTCTATACTTACTCAAGTAGGAACAATTGTTACCTGCTGGCTCCTTTATTTTTGAAGGATGGAAGAGGGAGACTGACAGATTGTACCTGGTAAAACACGAAAAAAAAAAAGTGAACTGAGCTCCCTTTCACTGTCTACTTTGTCCATAATGGAAGTAGCATCAGGCTGCAGACCCACCTCCTAGGTGACCCAGTTAAATTGGCTAGACAACAGTTTGAGATTTCAGTGTAGCCAGAACAGAAGGGAATCAGAAATACATGCTTCAACCTCTGGTTTTCTTCCTTTTCAAGAAGGTCTTAGTACTGGTAGTACAAGCTAGTATAATGTGTTCATACAGGGACCTCTGCTCAAAGAAACAAAAAGTTGAGCAAGTGGGAAGATTATTTGGATCCTTATGCCAGAGACAACCCTGGGTGTGTCCCATGTGAAATTTCCCTTTATTAGAGCACAGACATCCCTCCTCTACTCAAACTCTTCTACTGTATGTACATGCACACAGATGTGTTCGAGCAGGATGCCAAGAGAGAGTTTAGAAAACAGATGTATACAGATGCCAATGCAAATTGAGGTGTGTCACAATATCAAGATTACCTTGGACTAATTCTTCCAAGTGTAAGAAAGACTATTGTTCTTTTTAATTCCCTACTCTTGGAAGCACCATCCCGGCCTTCTCTTATTTACTCTTCATTGCAATTAAGTGTTCTACAATAGTCAGATACTCAGGGATCACATACCCTAAGCCCAGCCACACAAGGAGGAGGAAAAAACAAACAAACAAACTGTCCTTCCAACTAGTCTCAGGATTGGAAAGAGGGGTTAAGGAGAAACCAGACTATGCCCTCCCCCCCAGGCAAAGTTATTTTAACCATATTTCAAAGAGGTGTGCTTTAATATTGGTTGGTGAATGCAGCAAGCCAATCCATCTACTCCTACCCCCACCACAAGGAGTTAGCACACAAGAACAGCACTTCAGAGCAATGCATCATCAGGACAATTTGTTTTTAGATTTAGTCCGTTTCACCCAAAGTGATTTGCATGGAATGCGGACAGCCATAAAAACCATCTAAAAAGATGTTTAACTTGAGCTTTTTAAATAGTGAGAGAATGTGCACATGCCTCATACTTTCTGTATTTATTCATTACTTCTGCTAGAAGGTGGGGCAGGGAGGCACCCCAGAGAACCTCATTCAGAGAGGCATAAGCAACAGCCTACTTAAGATGCTAAAGGAGAGGCATCACGCATGACAGTTTATGCTCGTTTGAAGGAGTTAGATTTTATAGTGCCACGCTTTCCTGCCCTTTGCCCGACTTCAGGCTAACACAGTTAACTGTGGATTCTGATGTTTTGAGGGGTGGCGTCCTTAGCGACCAGCAACACTGCATACAGCACAAATCTTAAGTTTATTCACTAAATAACCCTATTTAAAAACCACTTATATAAAACTTTGCTAGAATAAAACTGCTAACCTTTTGCAAAAAGTAGAGAGCACAATATTTAGTTTTGATATAGATCTTGAGCACTCTGGCAGAGGGCTGCCATTGTTAGTCATGAACAATATCACTCTTTCTTCAGAGCGATGATACAGCAGGGAAGTAGGCTGTTTGTTATTTAGGTGGTTTAGACTGTGAAAGACAACAAGAAGTGTGCCTTGTGGTCAGCACAAAATGAGAATTCAGACCATTGTGGACACAAAACGCAACTCAGCCTGCAGCCCACCTTTTCCCCAACTCAACTTCCCCCCCCCCCCCCACAAAAAAC